CTAATCCAGAACAGGGGATTTCTATTCAGGTCGAACCGGGGGTTTTTGGATCTCAGTCATTTGAGTTTATGATCTTTCGTGAGGACATACATTGTTTAGTTAACAAAAGATGGATCGATCATACCATTATTGCTTGGTTCCAAGTGTAAGTAAATGATTATTACATATTTAATCTTATGTTCCCAATATTCTAATTTATTATCTTTTTATGTTATTAGATTTTTACATGGGGTTATGCAAAAAAATGAGAAGAACCGATGTGGTTTCATATGTCCTTCCTGGATTCATGCCAACGAATGCATCTCAAACAAGGATGGTGTCATCGGTAAAATTGCTAGTGTGATGTCTGACAATCAACATCTGTCATTTTTTCTCGCCCCATACCTACAGAGGTACCATATGCTAACATGATTTCTATTTTAATGATTATGATTTATCCTCTTTTATTTATATTGGTTTTAAACATTAACAGCGGCCATTGGACCCTAATTTTGATTTTTCCTCGCCGTTGCACTGCCTATGTATTGGATCCAATAATGTCCAAAGAAAAGATGGCGGATTTCTACATTGTGAAAGAGCATGTGGAAGTGTAAGCAATTCTTAAATTTGTAAATAGTTGATCTATCTTGGTATTAGCTCTAACACTATTATTGTTCTTGTAGCGCTGTTACAAGATATCATGAAAATGTAGGGTCATGCAATACTAATAAATTGACGCCATTTAGATGGGAATTCTCAAAGGTATTTTACTTATTGAACATCCATGCAACTTACTTAGCTAGTTTTGTCTAATAAATACCCTTTGTCAATTTAGTGCAATCAACAAGTATCAAGTTGGGAGTGTGGTTACTATGTAATGCACTTCATGTTCAATTTTGTGATGGATCAACAATCACAATTCCCAAACAAAGTAAGTATTTGTAAATATTTTTATATTATGTCTATTGTACATTACCTTGTGAACAAATAACAATTTTAGTTTCAATTTGTATTTAGATACCATGGCACGACATGACTTCCCTGACAGAAAGAATGTTAGATGGTATAGCTGTGACATGGGCTAAACATTTTTCGAGTGCTTATTTGAAGAATTTGAAGACCTAATATCCGGTTAGTTTTTTCTTGCGATTGCCTACTTTTTCAAGTTGCAATTATTTTTATTATTAGATTGGATGTTTTTTTTTGTAATGGTCAGGTTTGCCATCATTCTTAATTTATCGGCGTTTGGTAACGTACTTTGTGAAATATTTACATTTATAGGTTTTTTGGCGTTTGGAAGTCATTGCTATGGAAGCTTTGGTTGGTTCGAACAATTGATGTGGATAACGACTTACCGTTTAGCTATTTTTGGCACCATTTGTAGTTGCAATTATGGAAACTTAGTATTATTGGTAAACAAGTTTTTGTAAGGTCACTTTTGGAAGTCGCATTTCTATTTGAACTTTTGTGAATTTGTCACTTTTGGTAATTATTAGATATATACGGTTGACTTATATAAGTGATCCATTGATTTGTTGTGAATTTGGTTACGTAGTTCTCCAAAATATTGGATGTGTTAATATTGTATTTTTCTAATGTTTAGCCTTTTAAAAAGGGCTAGGTAACATATTAATATATATATATATATATATTAAAATTAAAAAAATGGTGAAAATATTACCCGATTTCTTAAAAAGAACCGGGTACCATTTAGATGTCCTTTTGTTCAAAGTTTAGCAATACTACCGCTACATATGAAGAACCGGGTAGCATTACTATAATCGCACCTGGTTGTAACAACCGGGTAGTATTTAGAGCTGTAATCGTACCCCCTTACATAGTACCCGGTTGTAGAACCGGGTAGCATTATGCTTTTCAACCAGGTACAATTTATAATCCTGTACTAGTGTATATTTCTATTTAATACATTAATATTTATTATATAATGAATATTTTTACCTTTTTACTGATTTTCTTTAAAAACTTAAATAATATATATGTTTATATAGTAAATATAATATAATGTGATTAATAATAAAATATTTTATTTAAGTTTTTAAAAGAAAGTTAGCAAAAAGGTAAAAGAACCATAATACCTCTAATTTATGTAGGTTTAACCAAAAAAGTTAAACATTCGTTAAAAGTGGTGAGGAAAATCGTTACGAGGTAACGAAAATGAGGAACAAGTCCATCAAAACGAAGTTGAAGAACGAGAATCGTTAAAAGTGATAAAAGGTTAAATACTAAAAGTGAAGTTGAGTCCAAATATTATTTGACAAGATTTATGTGTTATATCATAAGAAAATCCATTAACTTTAATCTTAGGAAGAAAAATGAAATTAGTAAATTACTCATAAAATCAGTAATCCTTTAAAACAAAAAAGTGGTTTAAGTGTGTGTATATTGAGTAAATTTTGGTACCAATTGCTTTGAACAGGTAACACTGTTGGGATTTCTTAACTGTATGGATGGATTATGGTCAAGTTGTGGTGATGAGAGAATTATCATTTTCACCACTAATCGGAAAGAGAAACTTGACCCCACACTTCTTCGTCCGGGTCGTATGCACGTTCATATCCACATGTCGTATTGCACCCCATGTGGATTTCGGCTATTGGCTTCCAACTATCTTGGAATTTCCCAACATGAATGTTTTGAAGAAATCGAGGATCTTATCCGCAAGGTAGATGTTACACCATCGGAAGTAGCAGAACAACTACTCAAGAATGATGATCCAGAAATCGCTCTTGGTGGCCTGATAGAGGTGTGCGAGATGAAAAGAGAAACGAAAATGAAAAAGGCCGAAGCAAAGGCGAGGAAAGAAGAATTGACCACAAAAGAAATCGAAAAGAAGGTGGAAGATGTAGAGGGTACATGTGTTCCGATATCAATTGGCTAAAAATTTAGTGTTTTTTTATTATGCAGTACTTATTAGATCAGTTAAGGAAACCATGAAACATATGCACTATATTAGATTTGTGAACGATAGATATCATGAATCTCATATGCATCAATAAATCTTGCTTTTGGGATAATACTCGTAAATCAATTCGACTATAACAATATTATTCTAAATTGGTCACTTTATAATACATATTAGTTATTATGAAACAAAATAAACGTGAAATTTATGGATTTAATTTGTTTTTAACTTGATAATGTGGATCCTTTAAAAAATTGATAACGTGGATTATTGGTTCTTGAATTATTATTTCAGTGTGGACGTGTGGTATCGGTAAAAAGTATATTTGAGCGTTGGGATGGGAAAATTTTTTTTTGGCAGCGATAAAAAAAATTTGTACAATTTACTTCATTCTAACTTGTTAACTTATTGCATTGTGAACCATAAGGGTTGTGGCGTAGTGATTGAGACCCAAGGGAGGGGATGTAGTAGAATATCTCATCCAAGATTCAGTTACAAACATAAGCAACAATGGTAGCCAAGTGAGTTTATCATGGGATGATTTTTTACAATCATAAATTGTCGTGATTAGTCTAGGCATAGCCTAACCCTTCCAAGAAGAAAAAAAAACCTATTGTGTTGTGGTATGGCTATAAGTTACCCCTTTCTCTCTTATTTTCTTATTTGTCAAACACTAAAAAATAATTTACCAGCTAATCCAAACACTTTTTTTATAAAACTTTGATTTAACACCGCATAAATTGATAAACACTTTAAAAAAAACATTAATTGTTTTTATATAAAGGACATGTGTATAAAAATAAAATAAATTAAAACTTTATCAAGTTAACATACAAAATTATTCATTAACGCTAAGAAAAATTAAACCAAACTTTTTAATATTTTGATATAATTTTCTCGTTATATAATTGTTAGTTGTGCTCATGAATTTTATATGTTAGTTATATACATGCATAGAGGCCCTTTATTAATGCATTTATGCAACATTTTAGAAGTTGCAACCCATACAATTTCACCACACATTTTATTCCGCTATACAAATTGCCAACAAATGTGAGTAAGAATACCGAATATAAATACGTTTTACCACATACAACTTACAAGTTACAACTTATATAATTGGGTCCACCTTAATAGACTGGGATTATAAAGCAAAGTGGTATTATAGTTTGCTATATTTATGAAAAAAACATATTTTTTTCTTATGTGTCAAACTCTCAATGCTTATTAGATGAATAGATATTTCAAGTATGTTGAACAAACGAAGCCTTCAAACATGCAACTTTGCATACTAAAATGTAACATCCCAAAGCCCAAAATAACAATTAATTCAATAACTTGAGATATCGGTTTTTTTGTATCAGTTTTTTTGGAAGGGTGTCTGATCTGGGCCAAAGCCCAACTGATTTTTGGGTATCATATCCACCACCCAATACATCTTCTCCCTCCCTTTGGTTCCTGGAATGAAACAATCACTAACAATGATTCTTTATATTTTGGAATTGGTATTGGAACTACAGGGAACTGGTTCCCTACCAGGTGGTGTCAAACTTTTTTTTTAACTTAACATTTCAAACATTAAAAATGTAATAAATATAAACTTAAAGTAATAATTATGATCAACTACAAAGTACCAACTTAAATACAACAAATGGTGAAAATTTGTTCGACAAAAATACACGTCAAGTTTTGATGCAAAAAGACTTAAACTCTTAAAGTAATAACAATATATACAACAAATGATGAAACTCTAGAGTCATGATGCAAAACAACTTCCATAATATTTCAAGTCACTTCGTGATGCTATGTTTAAGTATAACCTAAAAGATAATATGTAGTTTTATTAAATATATATATATATATATATATATATATTTTTAGTTAAAAAGCAACATGTACCATGCGGTTCTACAAGAACGACTCCAAAACAACGAGATCGGGACCGAGCTTAAGCGATCCGTATTTTAAAAATCAGAACAAATCACATCGATTTCGGTTCAAAAAGCGGCAGCTATGAAGTGGTTCCAATTTTAGAGACGGGTAACTAATTCTGATACTTACCTTTACAAGGTAATTAACTAAATTATTAAACATAAAAGTGACTGTAGTTTAGTGATAAGAATTCCACGTTGTGGCCGTGGAGATTTGGGCTTGAATCCCAGTAATCACACCTTTTTCCATGTCTTTAACAAATAAATAATTAGTTTTTGTTAAACGAATTCCAAATCTCACTCACAAATAATTAGTTTTTGCTTATTACACAGTGCTTAAAAAATAATTAATTTTAAATTCCATTCACAAATAAACCGACAAAGTGGGCCAAGGTTCAATGATTTTCCAACTTTTACGAAGATTATTTGGTTTTTTTGTAGATGCGATGTAGAAAAAATAATGAAATTTAAAATAAAAGAGATATAGGCCTTTTTCTTTTCTATTTTGAAGGGATATAGTTTATTGATAGTGATAAGTTTTAAAAATAATTTCGAAGTTAAGATATTTTCAAATTGGGTTTATTTCATAGAATAGTAACCAAGTTTCAATTTTGTTCTCTTAAAGTCACTCAAATTTTTTTTGCTTAACAAAAACCACACAACTTTCATTTTTGTTCCAATCTTATGTAATTTACCTGTTCTAACAAGTTACCAGGTAAATTTGACTTTTTAATTTAATTAATCATTATTTAAATTAATCCCTAATTGAAATAATCTTTATTAATTTTTATTTAACTAATCTTTATTTAAAATAATCCCTAATTAAAATAATCTTTATTAATCTATATTTAGTTAATCTTTATTTAATTCCATTCCTAGGAAGTTAACAGGTAAACTTGATTTTTTTATTAATTAATTTTTATTTAATTCAATCCTAATTAAAACAATTAATGTTTCACTCGTATAAACCCATCACAATCTTGTGATTGAATTGCTCAAAACCTTTTTTTCCTATCGTATAATTTTATTCATCAGCTAAATCATCATTTCTTTCCCTTTTGATTTTGGGTTTTAAGAAATGAGTCTCTTTTTATGGGTTTTTGTTTAACCCTAAAAAAAACACAAAAAAGAAAGACAATGCTCAACGAGAGGAAAGCAACAAGTTTTCTTTTTATGTGTTTTTGTGTAACCCTATAAAAACACAAAAAAGAAAGATAGAAAATAAACTCAACGAGAGGAAAACAGCAAGTTCTCTTTTTAATTATGGGTTTTCCGTTTAACTCTTTTAAAGGGTTGTTGTTTAACTCTACATCCAACCCAGCGTGTAACAAGCCAGCAAGAGGAAATAGCAAAGGTGATTTCCATGTGCAAAATAAGCTGATAAATCTAGATCAAGAGTTCATAAATAAGCTGGTAAATTACATACAGATTAGTTAATGAAAAAGATTAAACATAAAGATTTATAAATAAAAAGATTAAATAAATATTAAACATAAGATTAATAAAGATTATTTTAATTAGGGATTGAATTAAATAAAGATTAACTAAATAAAAAATTAAATTTACCTGGTAACCTGCTAGAACAGTTAAATTACATAGGATTGAAACAAAAATGAAAGTTGGGTGGTTTTTGTTGAGCAAAAAAAGTTTGTGTGACTTTAGGAGAACAAAATTGAAACTTGGTTACTATTCTATGAAATAAACCCTTTGAAATTTCGACTAAGTTTTAAACTATTAATAACAGATAAAATTTGACTTTTTCAAAAGATAACAAATTTTAAGAAAAAATAATTTATATAGCCATCTTAAAAGATAAACTTTATCTCTTACCTATTTTTTCCCCTAAAATATTTCAAATACCTACCGACCCCTTATCCGGCACCCTCTATTAGCGGTCTGGCCAATCCCGGCCATAAATACGATAGGGTTTAGGGGTGGGTGCTTAAGTGGCGGTGAGGTGGACCAACGAGAGAATGCCATTTGGGGGGTGCCTCTAATAGAGGAATGTGTAAGAATAGTGGTTGAGGTGCCTCTAATAGGGGTATGTAAGGATAACGGCTGAGGTGGCATACACGTGGAGTAACGTGGGCCAATAGGAGTGTGGCACGTCACGGCTGCCGCTAATAGTCGTGGGCCCCGATAGCGTAAACTATCTGGGATTCTAAAATGAAAATTCTAAACTTTTGGAAAGTATATGTGATTCAATTATGGGGACTCCGTTTTATATATTTACAATGGTATGTGACGTTAAATACACCGTAAACAGAGTGATAGTATCATGAACATTGCAAAAGCAGATTATTATCACAGTAAACAATGTCAAATACATCATAAATATAGTAGGATTAATAGCACCTTAATAATGTAGTTATACACTTGTAGTATTGATCCAACCATTAGACTTGTAGAACTCCTAAGAAAGGATGGGCCTAAAGATCATGGAAAGTTGAATCATCTCTTATGGAAATTCAACCTATTGTTAAAAGATCCCCAAGATACAGGTTCAAGGGGGAAAATTTAGAACAACAAATTTTTTTTTAAGATTGACAAGAAGCTAGCAAAATAAACATTTCCGGTATAATCATTTACATGAGGAAAACCATGTTACATGTTCCAAATAACACTAAACCACATCCAAACTGGCTTTGTGGTCATATTTTCAGCAATCAAAACCGAGCTAAAGACAATTGTTTGACATAAAGCATCAAGGTTATAAAATTGATTATATTTTTTGTGGTCAAAGATTGTACCATTTTCGAATAGTGGATAGAAATCTAGGAATCACTTTTAGGAAGGAATTTTTTTTATCTCCTCTGATTAAACACAAAAGGAATGTTAATTAGAATATATTTTTCCTACACGAACCAGATTGTAAGCAAAATAGTAAATCGACATTACTTTCCTATTGATCTACCCAAAGTTATTGTTGGTTCAAACAAATTACCAAATTGAAAAAAGCTATACGTGTCTTGAAAACATTACAAGTGGTTTAGACAAACGTAGGTGGCTAATAAGAATATATTCTTTTTGCATGATAAGGTTCATGAGAGAATTGTGTGGCATGGGGTTCATGCTAATCCAATTAGCTATAGTGAAATGAGATTTGGATGAGGTTGGCCACTTGAACATTGAAAATCTTCCATCCTATCTCCTTCCTAATCATCTTGTGTATAAATAGGGAGTAGTTGCCAAACCAATATCGCTATAATAGAATAATTTGTAATGGCAAATAAGACTAGAAAAAAGGCCTTGCATGGAGAGAAAAGTTTTGTTAGATAGCCAGGGATGACTTGCCTACTACTCATCTATCTCTTTAATTATAAGGATTTGCAATTAAGTTGGTTTTCATGTAGCAGGCAATCTCCTTGGCTAAGTTGACAATCTTTCCTTTTCATGTTAGACCGCCTTTTCTAACCTTCTTATCGTTCAGTTTTTTGATGGCTAGCTTGATCACTTCTTTGTCGTGGTAGAAAAGAGGATGAACTGAAAGAGATTGGTTTTCACCCTCCTTCAGTTAAGATGAATAGAGGATAATCAAATTGTTTGATGAATACTTTTGATTGCTTTCTCTTCTTATTCATTTTATACACGAATATCCCTCAAAAGGTTATGCCAATTTTTTTGCATTTTTTATATGCGTTCTTACATCGACATCATAATTTCATAGGCACCAACATGTATGATATCTTTTCTCTAGAATAGATTGCATCCGAAGACAATAATAAGCGGTTAAGGTTTCATGTGGATCGGCTACCTAAAAAATGACAAAAATAAGTAAGGTTGCCTTAAGAGGTTAACATTTCTTTGTATATTGTATAGATTTAGATTTTAAGGAATAATTAACGTTAATATGATAATAAAAACTAAATTATTCTTTTGAATAGAAAAAATTTAAGAGGCTACAAAGTACACACCAAGGGACTTCTAAAATGTCTAATATATTTTCTTTATAGTTAACTTTCTATTACTTCCTTTGAAAGCCAAGAAAGGGAACTCAAGGTAAGAGCTTTGACAAAGCCATCACCCAAACTAAGAGATACTAGTTATAGTTGTTGGATCCGTTAATAATAAAATCTAATTTATAGTGAACTATAATAACATAAATTAGTTAGATTTACTATTTCATAATATCTTATTCTTATATATATAAAAGGATCACCCTTCTTATAACTTTTTCTCCAAATTTTATGAGATTTTCCTATTTGTCTATTTTTAATTTTTTGGTTAGAATTACTTTTATTGTTAATTTATTTATTTATTTTAGTAATTATATGGATTATTATTTAGTGTTATATTTACTTTTTCTTATTTTTAACTCTTTATCTCAACTCTCAACTTAAACCCGTTTATCTTCATATCGAGTTCGTGTTGTATTTTGTGTCGTGTCATGTTGAGAATAGTCATCCTATATGTGATATAGTACATCGCCGAAGTTTCTTGTGTTCTCGTAAATAGTTAGGGTTTTCATATGAACATGATGCTCTCTCTCTCTCTCTCTCTCTCTCTTTTCAATTTAGCGCCTAAAAATCAGTAAATTGAGTTTTATTTTGGTTGTATTTGAAGTTTTGAAGTAGATTGTATTTGATGTCACAACCCGTTTATGACTCGATAACCTGTTTATAGCATGTTAGCCGGCTTATGACCCGCCAACTTGTATGGTTAAACGGGTTATGTAGGTTGTGTTTAGGTTAACGGGTCGCGGGTTAAGTTGAAGATTTCGACACGATTAATTACTTAAATGGGTCATGTGCCGGATTAAGTCTTTATCACCCCCAACCGAACACAATATGATTGTCACCCCCAACTCATGTCCTCTTATGTATACTTACGTATTTGAAAACCTTACGACATCGTACTTTGAATAATCCATCAAATTATAATATTATATCTTCATTTTTCGTACAATCTAGCAACCCGTCGTGGATCGTGATTTGTGTTTTGGTAAAAAAATTACACAATTTAATATCGTAAGATGTTGTGAGACGAATCCGTCGAGAGAAAAGAATCTAGTTTGATAAATCGTGCGATAAAATAAATAATGAGACAAGACAGTTGATGACGCAGGAAAAACCTCGAGGTCGAGGAAAAAACCTGCGGCCGACTAAAAGGGTATAGTCGACGTTGCACTAAGTATCACCAATAAGGGGTGATGTCCTCGAGAATTACAGCGTGGATCGTACGATTACAATGAAACGGAATGTAAATTACAAAGAGTAAAATATAAATTGTAGAGAGTGTT